AAGCAAGCCTCAGTTTCCTCAGCTATAAAATGGGAATACCAAGAGCGGCCGTCTTTTTTTTTTTAATTTTTATTGGAGTATAGTTGATTTACAGTGTTGGGTTAGTTTCTGGTGTACAGCACAGTGATTCAGTTTTGTGTATAGATATACATATTCTTTTTCATCTTCTTTTCCGTTATACGTTTTTTATTACAAGATATTGAATATAGTTCCCTATGCTATACTGTAGGGCCTTGTTTATTTTGTAGAGTAGTTTGTATCTGCTAATCCTAAACTCCTTATTTATCTGTCCCCCCACTTTCTCCTTGGGTTACCATAAATCTGTTTTCTATGTCTATGAGTCTGTTTCTGTTCTGTGAATAAGTTCATTTGTATCATATTTTGGATTCCACATGTGATACAATATTTGTCTTTCTCTGTCTGACTTACTTAGTATGATAATCTCTAGGTCCATCGTTGTTGCAAATGACATTATGTCATTCTTTTTTTATGGCTGACTAGTATTCCATTGATGTGTACCACATCTTCTTTATCCATTCATCTGTTGACAGGCGTTTAGGTTGTTTCCATATCTTGGCTATTGTAAATAGTGCTGCTATGAACATTGGGGTACATGTATCTTTTCGAGTTAGTTTCCTCTGGATACATGCCCAGGAGTGGGATTGCTGGATCATATGGTAGCTCTATTTTTAGTTTTTTAAGGAACCTCCATACTGTTTTCCATAGTGACTGTACCAATTTACATTGCCACCAACAGTGTAGGAGGGTTCCCTTTTCTCCACTCCCTCTCCAGTGTTTATTATTTGTAGACTTTTAATGATGGCCATTCTGACTGGTGTCAGGTGATACCTCATTGTAGTTTTGATTTGCATTTCTCTAATAATTAGCAACGTTGACCATCTTTTCATGTGCCTATTGGCCATCTCTGTGTCTTGTTTGAAATGTCTGTTTAGGTCTTCTGCCCAGTTTTTGATTGGGTTGTTTTTTTGATTTTGAGTGGTATGAGCTATTTGTATATTTTGGAAATTAAGCCCTTGTCAGTTACATTGTTTGCAAATATTTTCTCCCAGTCTGTAGGCTGTCTTTTCATTTTGTTGATGGTTTCCTTTGCCGTGCAAAGGCTTATAAGTTCGATTAGGTCCCATTTGTTTATTTTTGCTTTTATGTATTGCCTTGGGGGACTGATCTAAGAAAATACTGTTACGATTTATGTCAGAGAATGTTTTGCCTATGTTTTCTTCTAGGAGTTTTATGGTGTCATGTCTTATATTTAAGTCTTTAAGCCCTTTTGAGTTTATTTTTGTGTATGGTGTGAGGGGGTATTCTAACTTCATTGATTTACATGAACCTGTCCAGCTTTCCCAACACCACTTGCTGAATAGACTGTCTTTTCTCCATTGTATATTTTTGCCTCACTTGTTGAAGATTAATTGATCATAGGTGTGTGGGTTTACTTCTGGGCTCCAAGAATGTCTGTCTTACAGGTCATGCTTTGCCAATAGAGTACCAAGCCCAATGTTCAGCACACAATAAGTGGTGATTCAGTGTCAGTGTGGCAGAAGCAGTAGTGATCCTCCAAAATCTGTTCTCTCCTTCTTTTATAGTACCAGAATCTCCCATTTTTACTAGGCATATGGTCATACTGAAAAAAGACACCTCTTCACAGCCCCCACCAGTCAGTGTGGTCACCCTACTTCCAAGCCTTTAGAGAATTATAGGCTCAATCCCTGCACAGAAGGGGCCTTAAGAAATCATCTTAGTCTTTTTTAAAAAAAATATTTATTTATTTATTTGTCTGCACCGGGTCTTAGCTGTGGCACGTGGGATCTTCGTTGCAGCACACGGGATCTTTGTTGCGGCATGCGGACTCCTAGTTGTGGCATGCGAACACTTAGTTGCGGCATGTGGAATCCAGTTCTCTGACCAGGGATCGAACCCGGGCCCCCTGCACTGGGAGCGCGGAGTCAGCCACCGGACCTCCAGGGAAGTCCCTCCGTCTTTATTACACAGTGTGTGTGGTCTGAGGCCCAGCAGTGCAGCTGTCACCCGTGGACTTGTCAGAAAAGCAGAGTCTGAGATGCTACGCAGCCCTGTGGAATCAGAACCTGCATTTTTACAAGATCCCCAAGTGATTCCGGGTCACCCTAAAGCTTGAGAAGACTAATCTAGTCTAATCCTTAGCCCTGCCTCTCCCTCCCCCATTCATCACCTCTGCCATCTCTCCATTGCACCCCTACCTGCTCTTTCTCCCTCTCCTTTCCCTCTGGTGGCCCTCCTCCCATATGGGGCAGAGAAATAGGACAACTTTATGCGATGTTCTTGAGAAGTTGCTTGCCTGCTTATCTAGGCTCTCAAGGTGCTCCTGCCTTGCCTCACATTCTGGATGTCCCCATACCACCAGGCTTGGCCCTGACTTACAGAGGAATGGTGGTTGCTTATGTGGAAGCAGAGTCACCAGCTTCTGCAGGGACTGCAGCATCCTCAAACCTGCATGAGAAGAGAACATGTCCCTGGTGGGCCCTAGAGGACATACTGTCAACATAGGCGCTGGGCCTGGGGATAGGCCTGGAGAGGGAGCTCAGTGAACCAAAGAGCTAGGATAGCTGAGTGACGACAGAACGGCACTGATGTCACAGCAGCCAATCCTCAAATCTGCAGACAGGGACCCAGTAGATCCTGTCAGAAAGGCCAACAGGTGTGGAATTATTTTTTCAGAGTTTGCAAAAGTCAACTTGCTCCATACTTAAACTTCTGCACACTAGCCTTCAAATTCAGCTTTTTCAAAGATAGCAAATGTTAATTGAGCTCCTACTATAGGCTGGGCAGTGTGCAGGGTTGAGGAAGTGATGGTTCCTGTCTTCCTGTTCACAAATGGAGACAGAGACACTTGTGAATCCCTGGAATTGAAGAGAGCCTGAGCTGGAGCTGTGGTATAGACACGGAGAGGACAGGAGAGATGAGGCTGGCATGGGGGAAGGCGGCCCGTCCACTGGCTGTCAACCCCTAGGCCGTCAGTCTTGCTTCTTCCCTACTGACATTACCCTACTATTGTGCAGGTATTGGGTGATCATGGCCTTCAAGGGAGTTGGAATGTATGCAACTTCGGCAACTTGAACAAGTTAATAGAGAAAGGGAGGATTTTACTTTTTCAAAAACATCACTGTTGGAAGTAATCAGGTTCCTTTTTCATCTGTTTATGTCTTTTTAAAATCTATCTCCTCCCACTGCAGTGTAAGACCCTTGACAACAGAGATTCTGCCCGCCTTGCTCAGAGCTGTTCTCCAACACTTTGGGAACAATGTCTGGCCCGTGGTAGATATTCCCATGAAACCTGAAGACCCACGCAGTCATGCAGCTCATTTCAATTCAGCAAATAGTTATTGATTTGCTGTTGTGTGCCACACCCTGTGTTGGGCCCTGGGGATACTGTGGCGAACAGACACACACAAGAAGACAAACGCAAAGCACTACAAGTGCCGGGAAAGCCCTGCGAGCCTTTCGTTAAATCAGAGGTGCTGGGAGAGCCCTCCCTGAGGCTCGAGGCAGAGTGAGAATTACCCAGATAACTGGAGGTGAGTAGGCAGGAGGGAGAGTGCTCCAGGCAGAAGCAACAGCATGAAGACTCTGAAGAGAGAGGGGACACCGTGCAGGTCCCAGAGCCTGAAAGAAGGTCACAGCTGTAGGAGGATGGAGTGAGGAGAAGACGGGTGACGTGAGAAGGCAGAGGGGGCCAGGTGGACAGAGACGACAGAGACAGAAGGGAGAGCAGGTGGGGGGAAGGATGCAGACCAGGGCTGGGTGACTGTGGAGGTCCACGCGGGGGCACACGGCAGAGCTGCGTGCTAGGCACTGCAGGTGCGTGTGCCTCAGTGTTGCTGAGACCTGACTGCACGGAGTGTTTCCCCCATCGGCCCAAAGCCCACCGCTGAGTGAGGAGCGTGGATTCCATGTTTGGCTGGAAGAGCAGTGGCGGGAGAGTCACCCCAACTCCAACAGCACCACCGGGAGGGGCTTTGGGGCAGAAACGGTGATGGTGGTGGGTTGCTATGGAGCAGAGCTCTGGAAGTCGAGCTGGCCTGACAGTATGGGCTTTTTTTTTTTTAATTTTTAAAAAATTAATTAATTAATTTATTTATTTTTGGCCACGTTGGGTCTTCATTGCTGCGCGCGGGCTTTCTCTAGTTGCGGCGAGCAGGGGCTACTCTTTGTTGCGGTGCACAGGCTTCTCATTGCGGTGGCTTCTCTTGTTGTGGCGCACAGGCTCTAGGCGTGAT